CCAAAGGGCTACCTCACTATTTGGAAATGTTAAATTTATCAGACTTGAACATTCTGATTCTACAAAAAACCACCCTACTTGGAACAGCTTATATCCTCCGACGTTACCTTAACAGTTCCTAGGTCCTTGGTTAGGACTCGAGCTGTTGAGCTACCAACCAGCCCCAAAGGCTGTGAATCTCACCAAAGATTAACCACATAATAATATCTGTGAAATATTGGGATGAGAGACCAGCCAAAAATCCTAGGACCAACCTCCTTGAGGTTTTTCCCATCCTGATCAAGCCATATACCAATGGACATGCTGGGCAGTATTTGGCAGCATTGCCACAGATAAAGAGAAGAGAGATTAGACACTCGCTTCAGATCGGCAAAAAGCAACTCAAAAGCCGAAGACCCCCGTGCAAGAGTTTTGTGGACATAAAAGTGTTGTCTCTCTTTGGGCCTGTCATTGCTCTTAAGAAAAGGCCATAAGGAGACTGTTTTTAATCACCCTGATCCCGTGCATCCCAGAGCATAAGTAGATAAGAATAATTAAACATTAATGCAGACCTGTCGTTTAAAGTCCACAGAACAATCTCATTAGCTTGTTGTTGGTTTTTCTGCAAAGCAGCCCAGACTGAAGCAAGATTGTCTCCTTGCCCTCTGGGATTGACCCAGAGATAATCTGCAGCAGCAGCAGCTGCCTTCTTGGACTTGCCTAATCGTTAGAGCTCATGAAGTCCTGATTAGGTCAGTTTTGTTATTTAAGCAAAGTTGGTGGGATTTGGATCATGCTGCTTTGCCTACCAATGTGGTCAAATGAGACTAAATTCATCATTCCCAATAACATGGGTGGGTTGCTTTTTTCTTTAGCATCACAATATGATGCAGCATGATTTCTTTTGCTTACCATGAGAAAGGTCGAGCAACAAAACTGAACTGCTCACTACGCTTCTGTAGGCCTGTGAAATGTGGATTGTGTATCTAAAACATGGGGAGCAGCTCAACCATTTCCATGTGGCTTTGTCTTCGCAGAATATTAGGGATCCCAGATGACGTTCCAGACACACTGAAGTTCTCTCTAGGGCACGTTTGCCCCAGTGGTGGGTTTCAAACTTTTTCACTACCGGCTCTGTGGGCGTGGCTTGGCAGTCATGTGGCTGGGTGGAAGTGGCTTGGTGGTCACATGACTGGTTGGGAGTGGCCAATTTAACAGTCCATTAAACAATACACAGCAGCCCCCTTTTCTATTATTTTTAATACTGCATGAACTTTTGCTCTAGGTCCGGGATGGCGAACCTATGGCACGCTCCCACCCCCCATTTTTTGCATGCTTTTTTCACCCTCCCCAGGCTCTTGTAAAGCCTCTGGAGCCTGAGGAGGGTGAAAAAAGCATGCAAAAAATGAAGGGGAGGGAGTGCCTGTCATGCGCGCATGCGTGCTTGCGCACTGGGGGCTGCTGGGTATTGTTTAATGGACTGTTAAATTGGCCACTCCCAACCAGTCATGTGACCACCAAGCCACGTCCACCCGGCCACATGACGGCCGAGGCGCGCACACA